TATGCGATCTTCTAATTTAATAGTTGAATCTGCTTGTTTTGAGGCCATATTTGATGAAGAACTGAACTTGATGATGATTTGGTGTGTTGTAAGATTCAGGGGTTGAGGTGGTGGCTCGCTCGGTGTCGTGGCTCGCTCGGTGTCCGATTACGTTATCTAGATATCCTGTTGTAAGCAGCCAGCATGGACAGTGCAGTGACATGGGGCAGCGGCTGCTTAGCTGATAAGGTCGTCGGGTAGAATCCGACTCTTGTCGTGTAGAATACGGTGTGGCGCCCAACGCCTCCAGACTTGTCAATCGGGATTGAAGATCGGGCTGGACTGCCTGATCAGCCTTGAAGGAACGGCGGTCTGTCGCTGTATGAGGCATTTTCTGGAGTTATCCTTAGATGGTTGATGCTGGCATGCGGTGCCAGCGTGGTTGATAGCATGTTTATGTTTACTTTGAAATGGACAATGCGATACAATGCGATGTGATGCGATGCCTGTAAGGAAGCGAAGCAGATTTCTTGAATGGCTTTGTGAATAATAATGTTGAATCCTCATCTGCGTCTGGCTCTGAGAGAATAATGAATATGCGGGATTGATGCTTCTTACGTATGCGGAAAAGGAGTCCGGCGAGTGAATGAGCTGGGGATATTTTTTCATCTCAGGAGGCTTGAAATAATAGTGATGGACCAGAGTGATGCCTGTGGTCGCCTTTTCAAAAGGAAATATGGGCGCCGTGGCCCTCCAAGAACTGAAGTAGTCTACGAGACATCCTTCCTATCAGTGTTGGAACTGCAATTTAGCAGGAGAAACTTGGAGTAGAGCGGGGTTTCTCTTATCCCATTTTTTTCACTTTTTCTGCCTTTCTTCTTGCAATCCTATAAATAAATACAATTGATCCTCCGCTCTATGAAGGAGAAGAAAGATTGCTATCAAGAATCCACAATCATCGTCGCTTCTGGTTTATATACATCCTTGATTCCTCTGCGATATAACTGCAGCGTCGCCAAGAAGGATCTACATTCCTCGCATACTATACATACTGCCACATCTCTACAGGACTACTGCGACAGTCTACGAAAATGTCGTTCTCCGGACGTCGCTTGAGCATTCTGCGTCCCTCCAATCGGCGGTTCTCCCTTGGAAAGGAATTGTCCGAGAATGGTGCGTGTCTCTTCTTGGTCTCATATATATACTTGCGGCTTCGTCTTGATGAAAATACATTGAAGCCGGAGGCATCACGGACTCTATGAGTCCAAACAAGCTTCCTGCAAAGAACAACAAAGCTGACAAGCTGGACTGCTGCAGAACTTCGTTCGGAAACCCATCGTCAGTTCAGAACCGCCCACGAGGGTCACCGTCCCCATGCCGGTCTCGATGCTTCCCGTGCCTCGACGGGTGTCGTCTGGTGTACGGAACGTGCGGTAGAACACGGATACGCAGAGGATCCTTCGTCCTGGGCGAACCTGGGCCAGGGTGCCCCCGAAGCCGACGATGAGATCGAAGGAAGCTTTCCCCGACCTACCAGTATCCCCATCACATCCGCTGCCCGCGAATACGGTCCTACCGCTGGTATCAAACCTCTGCGCGCGGCAGTTGCCAAACTATACAATGAGCATTACCGTCAGGGGAAGGAAAGCCAGTATACCTGGGAGAATGTCTGCATTGTCCCTGGTGGGCGAGCGGGACTGATTCGAATTGCGGCCATCCTGGGCAATTCGTACCTGTCCTTCCCTATTCCTGATTACTCTGCGTACTCGGAGATGTTGACGCTGTTTAAGAATGTGAGTACTCCATAGTTATCGCATTGTCAGGCAGTCTTTGGTCCTTTGGGCGCACCCTGTGCTCTGGAGCTGTCGCATTTAGTGCTCGGTCGAGAACGGTCACTCACGAGCATTCTCCTACATAGATCGCACCTATTCCCATTCCTCTCGCCGAAGACGACCACTACCATATCCACCCCAACAAGATTGCGGAGGAGATTGCTCGTGGAACTTCCGTCCTCTTGACATCGAACCCCCGTAACCCTACCGGGCACTTTGTTTCGAATGAGGAGCTTGCTCAGATCCAGGACATTTGCAGAGATCGTGCAACGCTCATTCTGGATGAATTCTACGGTGGCTACAACTACACGACTGACTGTGATGGTTCGACGATCAGCGGTGCCGCCAACGTCGTCGATGTCAATCAAGATGGTTCGTCAACCTCTGCCCTTCCTCTTATGGATCACAACTATCGAGAGAGCTGCAAGGCTAATTCTGACAGATGTTCTTCTGATCGACGGTCTCACCAAGCGTTTCCGTCTCCCCGGCTGGCGTATCGCCTGGATCGTCGGTCCCAAGGAGTTCGTTGATGCACTGGGTTCCGCCGGCTCCTACCTGGACGGTGGTGCGAATGTGCCATTCCAGGAGGCAGCCATCCCTATGCTCGAGCCTTCCCTCGTGCGCACAGAAATGAAGGCGCTGCAGCAGCACTTCAGAGAGAAGCGTGACTATGTCCTAAAGCGACTGCACGAGATCGGTTTCCGCGTCAAGGATGTACCCCAGGCCACCTTCTATATCTGGCTCGACCTGACGTCCCTCGAACCACCTCTACCCAAGGAGGCCAATATTTCCGACGGACTGAACTTCTTCAATGCCCTTCTGACCGAAAAGGTCATCGTAGTCCCTGGTATCTTCTTCGATTTGAACCCGGCAAAGAGAAGAGATCTGTTCGACAGCCCTTGCCACCATTTCGTGCGTTTGAGTTATGGACCAAAGATGGATGTCCTCGAGAAGGGTCTGGATGGCATCGAGAGGGTGATCCGCCGTGCTCGTGGAGAGCCGGTCGAGCCTCGGGCTGACGCCGTTGATGCTCAGTGGGAGGATGAGGTTGCCGTGTCGGATTAGGCGGTCTCATCGATCAATCTGTCATGTTGTTATTCTTGTCGTTTCATCGCTCTCACACGCGTAGAACATTGTTTCAAAGCCTCCGGTTATGAAGTTGATAAATAAGCATAGATAGATATCCCATTACTGACTATGGCGCTCTAGCTGAAAAAGAGTATCTAGCATCTGACCACTAGATTCAGGATGTATTGTTTCTTCTCCTACTCCATATCACGTGACAGGGAGGTGCTTCCATTGGGATCGCGACCGTAGATGATCGTTCGTCTTCCATCATTCATGTTTCTCGAACTTTGAGATTTCAATGAGGGCGAAGCTGCGCAGCGCAGGACTCTGCGCCCATGACTATGATCCTGAACTTGTACCGCGTCCTCAACTATGCTGCCTTCATTTTCTTTTCCGTCCTGCTAATCTGCCTGATAATCCTCACACCCGTCGACGCCATCTACCAATGCTATAAAACGCACCGGCTCACAAACATCTTCTTCATCACCGGTGCGTATGTGGTGACATTCATCCTCGCAGCGCTCATATATGCGACACGGATCTACACGAATCGTACAGCCCTATCTGCCATCCCTAAAGCATGGATTCCCGTCGAGAAGGAAGATGTCGGAAAGAGCGTCCGCCGGCTGGTAATGGAGGGGCTCGCGCGCAGTGCGATCATCGCCTACCAGGCGCGACCGAGAGATATAGCGGCAGATGGGGACAAATTCGCGGACTATCCGACGCTCCTGGTGGATCGCGACCGGCCGCCCTGGGGTAAGGTCGAACATCCAGGATGGTCGTCTCCTTCGTCGCCCGATCTACCGGACCTGCCGTATCGTGCTGTCGTGCAGGAACTACCGCACCTGATCGAGGCTAAGGCGGTTTCCCTTGCGCCTCCGGATCCCTTTCTGACGGCAGCCGCCCACCATCCGTTCGACACCTCCCTTTCCGATCGTGGACAGTCTGTTCCGGATACGCGAGTTGTGGAAGTACTACGGAGACCTGCGTCGATGGGATTGCGGGAGTATATCCAGCATCTCACGGCATTGAAGCTGGTCAACCCCCCAGAAATCGGGGCGGAGTTTCTGGCTCACTACGAACGGGCTCGATTTTCGTCTCGCGAGCTCCACGAGGGTGAATTCAGGGAGCTGATGCATGTCTTTGCGGACCTCTTGAGAGGGATGACATACCTGGATGCTCGGATACTGGATGAAATCAGAGGAGGAAGTTCTCGCGGTGACAGCGAGTCCCTGATTGGACCCTCCGATGAAGAAGGCGAGACGGATACCATGGAGTTTCTGGACGACAGCGACGCGCTGTCTCTTCGCCGTAGCAATAGCTCGCAGCCTTCGGACGTCTCGTCGACCTGGGAAAGCCGCTCGGTGCATACTGCGCCTACGGCGCCGAGTCGTGGATCGCCGGTCGCATCCAGATATCACGATCGGTACCGCACATTGGCCCCTCCCCGCACGCCGTCGACCCGGTCGCTCAGACGCGTACAGTCGAATGTCTCTGGCAGTTCATCGGGGGGCAGTGTTATTCGCTTGGTTGATCCACGCGGGCCGTCGGGTCTGCCTTATGCTTACAACTTGGGTAACACAAATAGTAGATCATGAGCTTTACTTGTTTGGAAGAAAAATAAATATGCTTAATCCTTGACCTTAATTGTGGCCTTAATTTTCTAGAAGGTAGGCCAATGCTGTCGATTCTCTGCACGTTCTCTGCCTCATGGGCAGATGATGATCGATACAATAACATGACGTGACGTAAGCCAATCGGAGATGGCACTCGTACCTAGGAATGAGACACTGTAGGTAGTTTCCCACATGCCGGCCCATTTTCCGTGCTTGGCACAAAGAGCAACGTCATCTTGATAAGATCTGGATCAAAATATTAATCAGATCGAATCATCCGAAACAATCGCATTGTTGCACGTCACCTGCGCACTTCCATCCAAACCCAGTATGCAGGCTTTTCTCCGCCGAGGCGCCTCGCTATTTGGCTCGACGCCATCCGGCTCCCCCAAGGAGAGCGGGAGTTTCGATGAATTCCGCAAGGCGCCCTCGCACGATGTGCTATTCCCCAGGGTCGACCCGGCCGTCGATGGAGAGGACTGCCTCCACGACTGCGCTTCATGTACGGTGAAGTACCCCGCCAAGTTCGACGTGGACTATGACGATGAGCTCTACGGGCACGTCAACGGGTGGGCGACGCATCTGCTCGTCGCGACGGGGAAGACGGACTGGGTGAGGGATGTTGCGGATGAGCCGGGCAGTTTGATGGAGGCGATCGAGAAGGGGGGACTCGAGCCGAGCAATGGGGTCTGTGTCTTGCCGCATGCAAATGCATTCACGGATGAGTCTGCTAATGTGTATGTGTAGAATCTGAAGCTGTCTGCATCCAACATGCCCGTGCCGGACGAGTACCACCACCACGAGCCCGGAGCGCAGCCGACGGACGTACTGATCCTGCCGGGCTTCACGGTGGTGGAGCAGGTGACTCCGGCTCTGGCGCCCGACCTGATCAAGTACTTTGTCAGTCGCGCGCCGACGACGACCACCCCGCTGGGAAGCATCCCGGAACCCCTGACGAGGACGGACGGCGAGGAGCCGCCCGCTCCGGTGGAGATCCGCTCGCTGACTCCGCTCCGGTCCCGGCCCTGCGGCCATGCAGCCGTGATCCTTCTCTGCTCGCAGCGCACCCGGGACGCGCGGTGCGGGCAGTCCGCCCCGTTACTGCGGCGCGAGTTCGAGCGCCATCTGCGGCCGCTTGGGCTGTACCGTGACCTGAACGACGAGCGGCCCGGCGGCGTGGGCATCTACTTCATCAGCCACGTTGGGGGCCACAAGTACGCGGCGAACGTGATTGTTTACCGGCGCCGGGACTTTGAGTGGTATCGGAAGGGGAAATCGGGGCAGGACGCGGAAGGGACAACGACGGGGGAGGCGGACGAGGGCGCGGCGCAGGGCATCTGGCTGGCGCGCGTGCGGCCGGAGGACTGCGAGAATATCGTCAAGTATACTGTCCTGCAGGGGAAGGTGGTCAAACCGGGGCTGCAGCTTCGAGGCGGGTTTGATCGAGAACGGGGGAAGATTAGCTGGTGATGGGCAGGGATCTACGGGGGAGTGTGGTAGACATTGTAAGTATACTGTGATGATCTCATGACATTGGATGCATATAGAAATGAGAGGCACACATCTCAAGAGAGAAGAGGGTCTTTACAGAGCAAGGATATCTTCATGGCTAAGTCCATTGATGAGGCGTCAATTGTGATGCTATGGCAATATCCTATGCCATACTGGCAATCACATCGAAATGTACTGTAGCCCCCAGAGTATGCTGTATTCCATACATCTTTCCCTCAAGTAATACAGTATACACTGTACACCATACCTTACACCCTCAAACAAGGAATCATCTCTCCTCCGTATCACCGAGATCCCTCGGCCTCACTCAACTTCTCAAGAGCAGGAGTCAAGAGACAGGACAAACGCAGGACTCAAGACAGAAGTCAGATTCAGAACTAAAGAGTCCCACCCCCTTCCACCAAATACGAGCTCCTCATAACCGTCCCAGTCGCAGTATGGTGCCCCCCCCACTCAGCAGCCAGATTAACCCCCACAGAGCTGATAACCACTCAGATCCGTTCGTGCGCGGATCTCTCGTTAAATTTTACTGGAATGAGGTTAGCCCGTTGAGACCTCGAAGGTTAGCATCTGCTGATGAGTGATTAGTTGACTATCTTCTGGGGCTGCTTATGAACCCAGGGCTTGGGTTCTTGATTCCTGAATCATGAATGACTACGGCATAAGTGACTTTCCGAGGTAAGATTGGGAGAGGGCTAGTGCCGGGTGGCCAACATTTGAGATTTCTGAGATTGAGAGAGCGATGATGGAAAGGTCGCTGCCGTTATTGGTGCATCTAGACGACGGAGTTCGAGGAATGTAGGTAGGTAATTTGCAAAACTGCCAGTCTCCGAAATGAAATGAAATGAAATGCAAATCTCCACTGGAGGTCGTAGTCTGGAGATACTGTACACTATACACTGTACTACGGTGAGTCTGGCTGCTGACTGTTGTGGAAGGAGCCTGAGGCGGGAAGCCTAAGTACCTTCCTTACCTTAACCTTAGGCAGGCATTGTGAGATGACACTGCCATGCTTTGATTGGTCGGCGGTTTGTTCCACAGCATTTACGGTTTCTACCACTGCACAGTAAGTTCACAATGTCTTTCTTCCAGTGTATAGAGGCATTGGACATGTTACTCACACCTCTTCTAAAGTATCTCCCATTGATAGTATGAATAGCATTTTCAATGCTCAATGTTCTAATCACAGATTAAGGGGGCTCTGACTACACTGTCCAGCCATAGAGTTGCCGAAAGCTCACCTCATTTAACTACAAAAGTTTAAACGGCCCGTTGGCAGTTGCACAGGATAAGACTTCAAAGTGGAGCGGGACGGCTAGACGGATTCGTGTTACGAGACTTGACTTGAGTCAATCATTGTATTGTGTAACCTTTCGCCTTGTTGGAGGGTAGTACAATGTCGTTGACACCATGGATGGGTGCTCTGCAAGTTGCAACTCAGACCATGGATTGAGAGATGCGCAAGGATAGATGTCGTTGACTCTGTAGTGGTCTTTATCCTGGTTTAGCTGCTACAGAATATCCGGCATTCAATTAGCAGTCTCCCGTTGAAGTCACTGTCATACAAAGAAGCTTAAGGTGTCCGATTGAGTAAGCTTAATTGCTAACTTTTTGATCCCCTCGGACTCGATTCTGGTTCACGGTTCAATCAACGGAAATTAGAAAGTTAAATGAAGGTGCAGATGGAGAAGTACTCCGTAGCCCGTACCCTCGTCCACATGGCCCATGGTAGATATCCTCATCTCATAGCGAATCCCAGCACGAGCCTCAGGCTCAGCATCCACTTGCACAGTCCGGAGTACGTAGGCGGATGTTACTCGGTGGGACCGTTCAAGGCCAATCCATCCTGTCCCGAGTGCAGAGTCCAGATTTGCCTCCTTTCTGGACCCTGTATCAAGAGTAAAAGTGGGTAACAACGTCTCCAACTGCTGTACCGTACTGGAAAACTGACTTCGAATGCTCCACCTTATTATTTAGGGAAGGTCCAAAAGGCATTGATCCTCCAGCGTGGAATTGGTGAGCCCCTGGAAAGAGCACTGCAGATAGGATCATGGAAGCAATCAGGGAATCACCTTGCGGTCACCGAAAGTACGCCGACGAGAGTAAGAAGCCCAGCCCATCCCATGCATGCTTCATCTGCAGTTGCGACTGTAAAGATAGGCATTTTCAACCGGCCCATGGGGCAACCGCCATCTCCAGTAAGACCACTGGATCACCTCGCGGAGCGTTAAGGCGACGAATACCTAGATATTCTTCATGATGCCAAGCATTTCTTCTGCCTCGTCTGCCAGTAGACTTTGTCGCTCTGGTTCTGCAGACGGATATGCACGACCAAGTTGTCCGTACTGTTTCAGAAGAGAATGATTTTCTGGAATGCACCGTGCAGGAAATCACCTCAATCTCAGTTGCCACCTTGAAAATTCAAGTTCACCAGACCTCTCGACGACATGTTGGTAGTACTTAACTTGGCACTCTGAGCTATGTACCTACGAGGTACAAGCTGGAGCACCTATGATATGCATCTGTAGGGCAAGTACTCCGGAGATACATCGGTGAGTCAGTCTACTTGGAAGGTGGCAAGACAGTTGAAGCACAAGCAGGCCACACAGGTCTTGTACTGCGATTTCTTCCATGGCCTATCTCGAGCTGAATTAGCTCCAAATTCTGACGGAGATATTCGGAGAAAAGATATCGGCCCTAGACCAAGGTCTTTTCGCCGCGTCGGAGTATCTTCTCTTCCTAGGAGATACACAATTGGCGCTTTGAGTTTGATTGTCGAAGGTGCTGAGATCCTTGGCGTATTTCCATCAGTTCTGTATGGATGATGGATGGATGTTGGCCACTGTATCGAGTACGGAGTACCTATGTATGGTATGTAAATTTGTATACCTCGGACCACCGTAATACGGAAAATACACGACACACGAGTCAGCCGTCGGAAGCCGTCAAATAACATTGTGGGTCACGACAGACAAAACCATGGAGTTGGCTTGGAGTTTAAGTGGTAGGACCCGTCCCCGTCTGAAGCTTAGAACCAGCTGTTCTGAACTTTGATATGTGGGCTTCAACATCACAAAGTTAGAGATCAACGAACTTACAATTCAGTCCTGGCCAGTCCATGGCCCAAGCTCTCGCATTCTATCCAGATCAGAGTTCAGGGAAGTGGTGGCAACCGGCAATAATTGCTTCACATTCTTTCGGTTCGCTTTGCTCGATCATCAGAGGCCAAAGGCAAATACCAACAGGTGATTCTGCACTCATTGTTGATTCGATGATTTCGAGTGCCGAAAAGCCAAAGTTCGCGACGCCTCCAGCAACACAAAACTTTACTTCCCCTTGCGATTTGCCTACCCATCAGCGCATTACCTGTCCATTTTCATGCGTTGCGTCTTTGCCGATATTCCCATGCGTTGGAATTGTCCGAGACCCTGCATGAGGGGTGGAGATTAAGCCGGTGAGAAAGTACGAAGTAGGCAGTGTAAACATGGCACACAGTAGACAGATGGACGCTCTGCATAGCGTTCTGTAGCTATGACCTAGGGAGCAATCAGCTATGCGGTACGGAGCACATTCAGTATCAAGGGAGACCACATCCCATCCTTGCGGTCAGCTAGTTGCCTCGTTGATCTCACCGAATCCGTTCAAATCGAGGCTACTAGAACTCAATTGTTTCCGTTGTGGATTGTCAAGTCGAAGAGGCTCCTGTCGTCCCGTACCTTAATAAGGTGCTCCTTAATTTTGCTCAGGCTGAGGCAGGATTGAACATCGGATTGATTTGATACTCGTCGGCCGAGTATTCAACTGTATCTCAGCCTCAATTATAAGAGGTGGATACAACCCAGCGATACAGAAGGAAAGTTGGTACTGTCAACCATAAAACCACTCAACTAAAAAGGTGTCTAGACGACCATTGCTAGCGTAGTTGAAATAATAGGACAATAACATGTTCAACTGTCAACAGGTACTTACTGGAATGTTATTATCCTACAAAGACCAATTGCTCGAAACTGTCTAGCGTTCTTTTGACTACGAACAAGCTTACCTAAGGTTTTCCAGGCCAGTGACCGGTATTGCAGATGATAACCAACTTTACGCATTGATGTGAGATATGTTGCAGTTTCACAGACTCAGTAGAAACAGGCAATTAGAGTACGGAGTACATTCTACCTAGATTTCACTAGACCACTACTATTCAGAGCCAATTCACGTCGGGGTCAGGGTGATAATCTCTTACAAAATGGGCGTGAAAGTTGAGGGTATTCTACCTGCATATGGGACTCTCGATTCGAGATTGAACAGCAGTTGATACACGTGATGGAGATGGACAACGCTGCATTAGGCGCCTTCTAGTGACATGGAGTACCTAGCAAAGTTTATTCAACTTGTCATAATGATCAAGGTCCAAGAGAAAACAGCGCAGGAATGAAGGGACTAGGGATTCCCTTAACACTGACAGCTTACACTTACAGAGTAGTACCTTAGTAGTTACAGCTAACGAAAAGGGCACCAATTAGCTGATAACCCCGCGATTTCTGTTCCGCCTCAAAGCAACCAGAGATGCAGCTAGCTGCCAGCTCTGTGCTAGCAGCATCTTTTCTCGTGTCGACGATGAGTCGGGAGCGAATGAGACTCGACTTCCAAATCTCCTGGCACCTCATGACAGCATAATCCTTGCTGAGACAGATAGCTGAGCTCGAATACTCCAAGGGTAACTCTGTAGTTCGGTGTAGACATACGTAACATGCTGGACTATGATGACATTGTGCTTCTACCTTGCCAGACATGTTGTGATCCTCTCTCACTTTCCCTGTAGCTTTCCCATTTTGATGCCGTGTGCTAAATGTGTGAGATACATTGATCGCCCCAATCCCAGTCCACACGGGAGACCGCCAGTTATCTCCGCAGAGATTCTAGGCCTTCAAGTCGTAGTCCGATTTTAGGATCTTGAGTACGGTTAG